AGGTAACATTAATATGCAAAAATAACTGAGCGGCTCGTTAAGTTTTGTTTTGTTTACAAAATTAAGTCTTGATCCGGATCTGCACAAATAGTTTGAACGGTCACTCATTTAAACACTTCTTTCTTTCACAACTCTTGACCTACTTTTAAACTCTCCAGTTTATGTTATACAGAAACCCAACGTTATAAGAGCTGAATAGAATAATGCCATTGGACAAGAAAATAAGTAGAAAAAAGTTCTTTTTTTTTTTTTTTAGCACTTACTCAGATAACAGTAGCCTTGAATTGCCACAAAATTGCTAAGACAAGTACAGGTTCCCGTTGAACAGAACATTCCCTAAATAAGCATTGATTAATCTGTTGTATTAGCAAATATTCATTTAAAAAAAAACTGTTTATTTCTTTTATAACACTATAATATTTTAAAAAAATTGTATTTTTCAATTGGTCACCGTAAGACAGTCGGTATTGAAAGAGCAAAAATCGCCAACTCTTCCGGAACCAGCAACACCTTGCCGTTTGTATCGAACTGTATCTTTTGTACAAATTCCATTCATATATTTTTCATTGGCTCTACATACTTTTCTAACTAATTCTTTTTTTCTTAAATCGCATACCAAGTAGACGTTTTCGTCTACCACAGTTTTACTGAAAACGGATCTTTATAAGTATCTAAAGTGATGATCTAAATCTGTTGACTTAAGATTACACATCTAGTGCTGTTCATTCAGTGCAAAGAAAAAAAAAAGAAAAAAAAAAAGGAAAGAAATATTGACGTAAAATTGGGTATCGCTACGGCAGTTCATTTATGGCAAAGCAGTAGTTACCACTATTCCTCAATTACAGTTGTTAAAAAGCAATAAACGAATAAAATTATGCTAATAGCTGGATAAATAAAGTTGATAATCAGTTGCCAGTTAAGTGAACAATGTCAAAAGTGTTGAATTTTGAAAAATTACTGTAAAAGTTAAAACTTACTTTGTTTTCTTATCGCAGTGAAATGATTCCTCAGCCGTTTCTTTATGGCATTTTTGACCTACCGTCGGAACTGTGCAGTCACCGCACGGTTGACCGATTTTACAGAACCGTTGCTGCGAAAAAGCCGAACCTTAAAAAAAGACAAATACTTCTAATCTATTGAACATTGTTAGCTATAGCAAAAAAACTGATTAATTTTCCTTTTTTATTTTTTTTCACTAAATTTTCTTTCTAATTTTCCTGTGATTTTATTACTGTGGTTAAAAAACCTCTTCTTTTTCTTTCCAAATTAATCCGATAATATCATTTACAAAGTGTAGACAAAAAAAAAACCAGATAACAGCAGAAAAAAAAAAAAAAGTTGAAATATCAAAAAAAAGACTTATAACTCAGACAGTATAAAAGACCACTCAATCTTTTAAACAGTGCCAATTACAACAGTAAAACTCTTTTGATATTTTTTTTGCACCCTTTTTTATTTGTTTTTTTTTTTTTTTTTTTTTT